CTTCAGAACACAAACTACTACCTCCCTCCGACCACATGCTGACCCACAACAGCTTGCTTTGTGTGCGCCCTGACCCACAGTCCAGCAGAACATTCTGTACTCACCCTTACACACTCCTTCACTACAGCCCTCATTACACAGGATCCACACCCTACACACACTACACGGACCACAACAGGGTCTTCCCGTCCACTCACGGACTGCTGTCCGCGGTAGCACCATGTTCTAGCCCTGGCCACACAAAGTGGAGTCTGTGGTCCAGCAGCATCCAATCACCTGGGAGCTTCTGAGAAATGCAGAATCTTGGGCCCAGCCCAGACTGGCTGAATCAGAATCCGCATTTTAACCAGATACCCAGATGACTCGTGCTTGCACATTAAAGATTCAGATGCTCCATCAGGCTACATCATGGCACATGCAGCACTGGACTGGACTGTGCAAGGATAGAGTGCAGGAATCTGCAGCCCTCTCTACCCAAAGTCCAACGATTCCATGCGTGGCATCTTCAGATCCTTCACCAGCATCCTCCCCCAATACACACTGCACAACCACACGATGCCATGACAGCTTGCGATCCAGCAGCCAAATTATAGCCCTTTATAAATAGGGTAGTAACTTACACAACAACCAATTTATTTGAGACACCCTGCTGTAGATAAGAAAAACATCCTGCACTCTAGTGTATATCCCTAAAGAATGCCTCATGTTCCACAGCACAGTGTATTACAGCGTCCTGTTTTGTGGCCATTCATTTACTCATTTATTCATTCAGTAAAAATTCCCAACCACCTATTATGTGCTACACCTGACGCTAGGCATTGGCATTTGACACCGAGAAAGACACAATCTAATAGTCTAGTCAAAAAGACAGACATTATATTGATCATGTAATTACAACAACATGTGATGAGTTTGCTGATAGAATAGTAGCAGTACTCAGGGATCAAGAAGAGCCTCCCTGAGTGGGTGACATTCTACAGATTCAATGAGGGGGAGGGACAAGCAAGCAAGGGAAGAAAAGACACTGCCTGTTTGAGGATCTGAATACTGGTTCTTGGAGGCAGGAGCTAAAGCAGGGAGGGAACAGAGGCCTGGCCTTGGAAGACCTCAAAAGCCATATGTGCCAAGGAGCAACGGACACTCCTAGGGCAACAGAGAGCTATCGGGGGAGTTTTAAGCAAAAGAGTGACGCCACACCACCAGATGCACAGTTAAGAAGATTACTCTGTACCCTGCAACAATACACCAAAGCTAGTGTATTTCAGCACAGTCTCAAACAATACTCTCCCAACAGCTCTTGCCACAATAAAAGATGGTGCTGAGAACAACTTAAAAAACCCATTTAAACTTATTTTAATGAACCTCCAATAATAGCACCCTTCACTAATGTTTGAATATAATCCTCTGTGATTGCTCCTTGTTTTTTCTCTCGCCACACTCTATTTAATAGCACGCATGAATCAGGAGCAGTGACGGGTACATGCATGCCTTTTAACATCCCACAGGGCACATGGAACGCTGCGCACTCTCGCCACGCGCCTTTCGGGAGTGGCAGACACTTAAGAAGGGGTGGGGAAGGAGAAATATAAAATCCTAGGATGTGGGCTGGGAGGGCTCTGCCGCCCGCATCTGCAATGTAAAAAGCATACCAGAGGGTAGAATCAAATATGAGGGGGGTGCATCATTTATTGTTATTACTAATCCAGTCTAAGGAGATCAAGGGCAGGGCTGGCTGCCTCTGAGAGCTGGTGGCAGAACATCTTGAAGTATATAGTCCAGTCCAGTCACTGTACTTTGAAAGTCATTGTTAAACCCACATGAGGGAATTCAAGACATTGATCAGTTGGAAATCCTACCAAATGCAGAAGAGTTGAAGCTGCTTGTTGATAATTAATTATTATGATCTTTTAATATTATCAATGATAACAACAGCTGCTTTTTCCTGAGCACTTTCTACGAGCCAGACATGGAGCTAGACCTTTTATGTTCATTATTGCTTAGCAGGGATACTTGAAATATTTAACCAGTCAGAATGGACGTTAGTTGTAAATAACCAGTACTAAGGGGAACTGGCTAAATGTCAACCTGACTTTGACTCACTCATCACTCCCCTGCAGGTTACAAACTAACAGTTCACGGGCCACATGTGGGTCATGCATACGTTTTATTTGCTCTGAACTGTGTTAAATTTTTTAAAAATTGGTTGCTGATATATCAAAAAAGTGTCAAATTTTATCTAAAAATCCTGATTTCTCATGAAAACCACGAAGATGGAGCCATGCCGAGGCTGCTTCCTGCAGGGCAGGCCCCCTAGAGGTGGGACGAGCCGAGCCTGTTAGCAGACTCCCGCTCTGCAGGCTGCCTCCTCCACCACTCCCTCTCCTCCCTCTCTCCAGCCCTCTTCTCTCATCCACATCACCTGCCTGGCCTCTGTAGGCACCTGAGGCTGCGACCTGTTCCAGAAGCCACCACCCCACGCCCTGACCAGAGAGAGGACGAGTGTCTCCCACTTACAGAGATGCTACCTCCCTCTGACCTCTGTTTAGCTTCCCTGCCTCAGCTTTTAACCCTAAACTCCACAGCAGTGATTCTCAACCTTGATCACACATCAGGTCACCTGGAGGGCTTGTTGAACACAGAACACTGGGCCCCAGCCCCAGAATTTTTGATTCCGGAGGTCTAGAATGGGGCTTGAGAACTTCATTCCTGAAGTTCCCAGGTGATGTTCATACTGCTGGCCTGGGGACCACACTTTGAAAACCGCTGCTCTATAACTATAGAATGAGCCTCACATGCCCACAGGGTTTCATGCTGGTGGAGATGGGAGCATTTTGCATCCTTCCTTTGGCTAAGTGAAAAGAGGAGCGTTCATGTTTTGAGATCTCATCAATAGCCCCACAAAAACCCAAATGAGTTGTGAGTGCCACCTTCAAGTTCCCAGTTTCCTGAACAAAGAGCCCACTTTTTGCAACCAGGTTACCTTTCGATCTTTTTTCAAACGGCCTAAGGAAATCGGTAATACTGCCTATGACATGCAGGGCCCTCCCCAACCCCGAGTGTACACACAGACATTGTCTTAAGGAATAGCTTCAGCAGGACTCGACACTGTTCTGCCCCTCAAAGACCGTGCACCTGACACATTAATTAACGTATGACACCACTAACAAAAACAATGATTAAGTCTTCCGGAGGCCTATTACGTACCAGGCATGTACTGAGCACATTATGTATCGTAACGATCCTCTGATGTTGGCACTATTATCATTGCTGTATTATAGATGACAAAACAGTGGATCAGAGAGGGAAACTGACTAGTCCAAATTCACCAGCTCTAAAATAATCAAGAGACTGTTTGACTCACTGCATTCACTGAGGGTCCGACCCTGTTAGGAATATTGTGTTCAATCCTGTGTCTGTATTTTAAAATGGATGTAGATGTTCTGGAGAACAAGCACCTCAAAGTGATGTTATATGGGACATGCTTGCATGAAGAGGCAGGGCAGGACTGAACCTGGAAATCGCAGGGTTCTAGAGCATAAGCCAGCATTTGCAAATGTCTGAAGGATGCTCTATAGAGAGACAGGCTCTAGTAGCAGTTCTGGGGAGGCTGATTTGATATCAATATATAAGTTGGCAACAGTTAGAAGGACCACAAAGTGGAACTGGCTGCCCCTAACGGACCTGGCTTCCCAACACCAAGGGGAATCCAAAGAGAAACAGGGCTCATCAAGGATACTGTAGAGCTGAGAGTCTAACCATTTGGAGTGAGAGAAAGGTGTAGCACTATGGAGATGCTATCTGCAGGACTTTCTGAAACTCCATGCCCTTTGCCCCTGGGCATTCTGGTGGCCTCCAACACAGTCAGATTGCCTAAGGTTTGGAGCCTCGCTTTCATCACACGCTGGCTGGGTGACCTTGGACAGAGCACTTAACCTCTCTGAGCCTCCATTTCCTCTTCCATAACAAGAAATAATATTATAGCACCTGCATTCACAGGCTGTTGTGAGGTTGAATTAGATGCTGTGTGTGAAGTGCTTAATATGGTGCCTGCCTGGCACATCACTGCTCAAGAAATTAGTAACAATAATAGGATCAAAATAACTACCATTATCATCATCTTCATCTTAACACAGAGCCCCTTACAACTCTAGGCTTCAATGATAATGTCTATGCCCATTTTTCAGCCTCAGTCGGTAGTTTCACAACTCATAATCGAGTCACCAGGTCTGCCCTCTACTTAATTTAACAAAGAAATTTCCTCCCAGCAGAATCACAGTTCTGATTAATTCAGGTGCAAACTCCTGCACCCCGATGCTGACAAGCGCTCTCTGCTGAGTCTTTGGGGATAGCAGGCCCTCCCATGAGCACACGGACTGTGGGGAATGTGAGATGTTTTTTCTTGCATTATAAAAGTTATTTCAAAGCCATATCTACACCTAAAGCCTGCAAGAGGTCTGCGGTTCAAGAGCATGTCAGCCTCTGCTTTGTTCTGTTTTGCCTTGGGTGGGAGCTGGCTGGTGAACTGCTGTCTTATTTACTGACTCAGATGTAGTGTATGTTTCAGAATTAAATTTAAATACTGTTGAGATAAACAACATGACCTTTTCAATGTCAGTATGAAGAGAAAATGACACAGTTGAACCAAGGAAAGGAGGAGGGCAAAATTAGATTCTTTATCACAGTCCAAAAATGGATCTGAACTCTGCTCACCAAAGAACCATGCCCCAAAAGTTGTCAGCTAAGAGAGTTACAATAATTGAATCGATAAAACAAAAACTCAATATCAATTGTCTTTTCTGTATTTATAGAGGCCCGGCTGTGCGAATGGAAATCGCCATTTTTGTACCCAGTGACTTTGTGCATTAATGTGAGCCCATACAGACATGTTCAAGTAGAAACATTGATGTCTACACCTCAGGGAGTATTCCAAGCACACACAGTGGGCATGGAAAAGATTAGGTGTACAAGTACCCGACAGTCAGAAAGAACAGTTTACTTACAGCTTTTGGCTTATACGGGGGCTGAATCTCTTTGCGTTCAAGTTTCTCCCAATCAATATACCGGAAAAAGGCATGTTCTTTGATGTCACGTTCACCTTCAGGCCCACAACCCAGACGTTTGCCCGGGTGTTTGGTCATCAGCTTCAAGAGAAAGAAGAACGTTGAATTGAACAAGTTTCAGAAGAGGAAATGAGACATGCCGGAAATTATTGCTCCAATGAATTAGGGAAGGAAACACAATGAAGAATCCCAACTAATTCTTTTTTTTTTTTTTTTTTTTTGAGACAGAGTCTCATCGTGTTGCCGGGGCTAGAGTGCCGTGGCGTCAGCCTAGCTCACAGCAACCTCAAACTCCTGGGCTCAAGCGATCCTCCTGCCTCAGCCTCCCGAGTAGCTGGGACTACAGGCATGCGCCACCATGCCCGGCTAATTTTTTCTATATATTTTTAGTTGTCTGATTAATTTCTTTCTATTTTTAGTAGAGACGGGGTCTCGCTCTTGCTCAGGCTGGTCTTGAACTCCTGAGCTCAAACAATCCACCTGCCTCGGCCTCCCAGAGAGCTAGGGTTACAGGCGTGAGCCACCACGCCCGGCCTAATTCTTATTTTTTTATCCCAGCAATAAATCCCAGCCAGGATTTGCAACAGATAGCCTGACAATAGTGCCCGCTGCTAGGGGAGGCAGATCCCTTCCGGTTGACCAAACCAGAGCCTGAATGTGGCCCTGAACTTCAGGTTAGAAATGCCATGTGATCCGCTTGGGTTCAAGAATGAGCTTTATGCAATCATTGGTGCATTTAAAACTAATCGAAAATAAGTTTCAATATCTTTAAACGCCCTGTCTCCTACCACAAGAAAACTGGAGTTTGATCAAGGCAAAAGCCACATTCAGTCATATACCATTTGCATTTCTCAGTAAAGCACTTGCAAAGATGACACAACAGGAGAAAAAATATTAGTCAAATGGGCCCAAGTTTCAAGTAATTACTTTCTGAAAGCTCATTAAATAGTCAAAACCCAGCCTAGCTCATTTCCCTTGTATCACACATTACACTAAACTCCGCTGAGGTTTCTTTGGTGTTCCGTTTAAATTACTTAATTATCAAAACCTTCCATCTTTGGGTCTCTGAGCCAGTGCTAAATAACAAGATGAATAGATGCTCCGAGATGAAACCAGACAGGCTTCCTCTTGTAAATGAATCCAAAGCAGCGTGAAAATATCTCTGATCTCAAGACTTCAGCAAATGCTCAGAGAGTAAAGATGGAGGAGTTGGTGATTAAAAAAAAAAAAGAACACACGAGTCCAAGAAGCTTCCCAGAGTCAACTTGACATCAAGCAGGCCATGACGTTAGAATCCTTAGATTTTTGCCCAGGACATGCTGATTATGGGAAGGAATGAAACCAGAAATTCATACCTATACGGTTGGACATTCAGTTTAGCCTGTTTCCAGTTTTCAAGATAATCTGTGGTCACACACACAAGCACCTACCGGCCATATATGCTTTATCTTCCATGGGGAAAATTAACCGGGCACTTAGGTTCTAAGCTACTTCTTTATTTCCATGCACGATCTGACCCAGTTAGGTGAATATATTATTTCTCCCACTTGAATGAAAAGGCAGTGGACACTCAGAGAGGTTAAACAACTACAAGGACCACCAAGATAGTAAGTGGCAGAGATAGTAAGAGCTGGGATTGGATCCCACCTCTGCCTAACTCCAGAACTTGGGCTTTTGAGAGAAATGTGAGTGCACTTCCCATGTGGTTTCCCCAGGAATATTTGTGGCCAAGCCTTGACACTTGTGTAGGATTAGGATGGAAGGACAGACAAGGCAATGAGGTCTTGGTTCGCACTGAGAATAGTATCAATAATGGCTTCTGTGTACCGAGCACTGAGAGCGTCACATGTGTTCAGGCTCTGTGCTAAAGGCTTCCCACCCATTACCCACTCCTCTTTCATCTTTACTCTGAGGCCTCAGCAACTGTTACCCTCATTTTCCAGATAAAGAATCTGGGCCCAGAGAAGTAAAGTCATTTGTCTAAGGTCACACAGCTAAGGACCAGAGCCAGGCTTTGAATGGATCTGCCGGACCCCGAACTCTTGTAATTCTGTGCTATTCAGTCCCTGGTGATTTCATTCTAATGTGCAGACAATTTGGGCTTCTGTCTACTTTGAGCTTGTTCGAAGTGGGAATGGCAATCTGAGCGAAGTTTAACTAATTTTTTTTTTAATGGTAGAAAATGGGATCTTTAATGGACGTACAAAGGGCACCACTTCAATTGAAAGGCAACTGTTTTCAAAAGCCTCGCTCAATTTCTGTCTGAGCAAGAGGATGCCAAGCAAAGAAAAGCCACTGCAGAAACACCCAGCACTAATTTGGAGTCTCTGCCCAGTTCCTGCACTCTGCTCTCATGTGCCTGAAGCCATGTAGACAGCTGGATTTAATCACTGTTCCAATCTCTGGTCACCTCCCAGACACAGCCCCTGGGGCCTGCTGTTCGGGGGGAGGCATGTGGCTGTTCGCTTTGGCATCACCCTTCTTTGGGGCATCGTCCTTAAAGAAAGAACCCACACTGGACTCAGCCCACTCAACTCAAAAAGGTCCCCAAACCCAAAAGTAAGGAAGTCATCCCAGTTAATCCTGAAGGTTATGGGTCCTGAATTAACAAAAAACTGCTCTACCAGGGAAACTGCTAATTGGAGCTGAAGCTGAACGCAGCTGACCTGGAAAATCCTCTCTCCTCCATGACCCATTTACAACCTCCAGCTGTCCAGGCAGGCCTGGGAAGGGGAAGACCCTGAGCATGTATTGAACACCTACTGTGTGCCAACACCATGTAAAGAGCTCATTTAATGCTCTCAAAAATGAGTATATAAATACTGTTCCATGAGTATTGTCATTATTATTTTTAAAACAAAGAAACAGAAGCCTGGAGATACAAAGGAACTTGCTTAAGACTCTGCACCTGGGAAGTGGAAGGGTTGAGGTTTGCAAAGGGTCTCTCGATCTCCCAAATCCCCCACTTTACAAGTTCCCATTGCAGGGGATGCCAACTCAAATGCCAAGGGGAGCCTGGCACATGGCGTTGTAGGGCCAGCATTCGCAACAGTAATAGTAACCTCCAAGGGTTTGGGAGTAGAGTGCCAAGCTCTGTTCTAAGTGAGTTATAGGTATTCATTTAATCATTTAATCATCACAGAACTCTTCACGTAGTGCTATTATTATCCCTAATCTGCAGATGAGGTCAACTTCCTAAGAATACCTGGATGAGGATTTGAACCCGGATGGAATGGAACCAGATAGGGATTTCTGCAAATTAAAGAGGGCAGTGGTTTCAATCCAGTTGACTGATGCTTTGCAGAAATGACAGGCCAACATGGCAAAGATCTAATTTTTCAATAGAAACTGGAAAGGTGAATGTTTATGGGAAATCCCCTGACCTTTACAGGTTGGCAATGATTAAACAAACCAAAAGCCCAGTGTGCAACTCTTCTCACAACCGCCCCCTCCCCTCAATAGAAGGTCCACGGCAGTCTGCAGGGGCCTCGGTCTGTGCTCTCTCTTTTTTCCTACGGGCTTTGCCTTATCTCCTAATGAACCTCTGGGTCTCCACTCTCTGATCCTCATTTTTTCCTCTCCCTGCTTCACACCCTCAAAGAAAATATTTTCAAGCTATTCACTTAAGATGTTAAGGACGGAGACTAATTCACACGTGGTTTTCCCAGGGAGATTTGCATCTTAACCTACGTAGCTGAGACACAAAGCTTAGGTGATTCACTGAGAGTGGGAATTTAGGCAATGTGATGAAGTGCTTTTAGGCTGAGAAGTTGGCCCAGCTATTACAAACTGAGCCAAGCCACAGGCTGGTCTGTCTGAGTGTTCTTGCTTTTCTTCGCCCCATGCCAGCTCATATGGCATCTTGATTGGGGTTAGGAAGAGCAGGGCCAGGTAGGGCACGGGAAATTTGCAAACGCCCCACAGATGGAGGCCTGGCAGCCCTGGTTGATTCAAATGCACAGGCAGGAGCCCACTGTTAAGGCACAGCCACGTGCTAACCTTGAGAACTCGCCTGCACCACTGGTCGGAGGGAGAGCAAATACCTAATAAAGGCACCATCCTTGGACCTTATTCTCTGGGAGAATCATAACGTTGCTTTCACACTTCCCTCAGAGTTAAAACATTACTTCCTTTGGACAATATGCTTAAAGGCAGTGATTTTCAAGACACATGGGACTTTTTCAAAACACTCACGCATAGACTTAATTTCTGGGATGAGGCTGAACACTTCGGGTCACCCTGATGGCTCCAGAGGTGAGGACCACTGATCTCAAGGGTCTCACACAGATTACCATAAGCATTCCTGTGGAACGCAATATGCATAACAATCCTTACTGGTAAACATATGTCCTACTTTCTTCACAGGTACAATTTGCATGCACTGCAGGTGTATAAATGTGCCAGCCCTTATAGCCATTTGTGTGTGTGTTGGGGGTGGGAGGACGGTGGGGGTTTGGAGACACTGAATTTGAGTCAGCTTATCTAGAGAATCCCTTTCATTTAATACTGCCTGACATTTTCTTAGAACAAAAGTCACACACTCTTAGTATTAACTAAACACATACGTGGCAGAACAGGGCAAGGTGGCCCAAATTGTGCCAAAGACCTCTTGTGCCCCTTCCCATGGGTTCCAGCTCTTTGACAAAGTCTCTGTGCTTTCTTCCTCATTCATTCCCTAAGCACTGTCCTGTGCTGGGCTAGATGCTGGAGTCCAGCCAACAGCAAGATGCCATTGCAGGCAGGCCTCTGTGGTGCTTTTGTACAAATTCGAAAAAAAACTCTCCTTCTTCTAGGAGGTAGCAGTTCCATGCCAGGGCCCTCACGTTGGCAAATGGAGTTCTATCTCCATTCCCCTTAGTGGGGCATCTCTGTGCAGGACACAAGCTGCACCCTTGTATGTGGTGGCCATAAGCTTTAAGAGACTTACCCCTTTGCAGATGGCCACAGCCTCCTTGGACATGGACTTCGGATAAGCCACATTGTGCTCCATGATGGACTGGAAGAGTTCATCCTCATCTTCCCCTTCAAAGGGTGCCTGTGGGACAGGGTAGGGTGGGATGAGAAGGATCCCTGCCTGAACCCTCCCCAATCCCCTGCCCCAACAGATCCCAACCGCAGACCCTCCTCCCTGGGGTCCACAGTGAGGCCACACTCAGGGCTTTCAAGGAGAAGACGAGGAAACATGGCCAGCAGACTTGGATAAGCCCAAAGCCAAAAAAGTCACAGAGGTTCAGAATTATGAGCTCTTACCAAGTTGACACATTCTTCTAAAGAAACCATGTGGATGGAGGTGGGGGAGGACTTTTCTTACAGATCACTTAAAATTCAATTACCTGCCCAGCCAACATTTCATACAGCAGGACTCCAAATGCCCACCAATCCACGGACTTCCCATAGGGCTGATAAGCAATTATCTGGAAAACAGAAGGCATCCCATCAGAGGGGCTTGCCGTTTGTGTCATAGACGGAGACCAAATCTGTACTTCTTTTACAAGAGGAGTGGACCTTCCCTGGGTGAGGTGGTAGAAGAGGGGGTTCTTTGGCATGAGACGCCTGCCTGTTGTGAAAGATTATAGTGGCTGCAACAGCACCAGACGCAGGCCAGTGTCTCAAAGGGTGGACAGGATGTCCAGTGCCCTCCTGAGCTATTTCTTTGCCTTAGCTACTCAGGGAATGACAGACATGCTTTACAGAGGTACCTGCCTGTAGCCAGGCAAACACCCATGATGTCACATTGCCTTTCTGAAGCACTGAGTATGGTGTGTTATTTTTCAAAAACCTCAAAACAGTGAGTGTGGCATTTTTAAGAGAAAAAACTGTCTTTACTTCTCATTGTAAAAATAATAACATTTACACAATAATGTGAACATACTTAACACTACTGAACTGTACACTTAGAAATAATTAAAATGGTAAATTTTATGTGATTTTTTAACCACAATTAAAAACAAAAAGCTTATAAGGGTAAAAACATTTGTTACTATTTTACTATTTATCTATAATACATAGATAAGCAAAGAGAATAAAATGAAAATTTCCCATAATCCTTTATCAAGAGAATAATTATGACTAATATTTTGTTTATTTTCTTCTAGACACTTTTCTACGAATACATATTAAACTCTGGGTATGTGTGTGTGTTTAAACACAAACATAAACAATGTAGTATGTGGGCTTTTAATAAAGTATATTATTAAATTTTCCTTGGTAATCTTTGTACATCAACATAATTGGTTTTTCCTTCTACATAGTATTCCATTGAGTGTATATACCAAAATCCGTCCTGTCAATTCCTAATTGATTAGGAATTGATAAGATGCTGCAACACATACCCTTGTAATTAGATAGTTCGACATCTGTCCTATTATTTCCTTAAGATAAATTTCTAGAAGTAGAATTGGTGGATCAAATGGTAATATAGTTATAAGGTTTTTTGACACACATTACCAAATTGCCAGGGCATGGCAAAGTCTAGAATAGTCGTGTGTCTGTTCATCTTTCAGTAGGTAGGGGTGTCAAACTAACCATGGCAAAGGTTAAAGGCTGAGGTTTGAGGGTCAGTGTCCTGTTTACCAGTTGTGTGACCATGGGCGAAGTTACTTAACTTCTTTAAGCTTCGGTTTCTTCACCTATAAAATGAAGTTTATCACAATATCTATGCCATCGGTTTTGTGAGGATGAATGAGATACTAATTGGCTCTCACATATTATGCCTTCAAAATTTTAGCTATTACTAGAATGTTCTCTAATTCAGTTATTGGTTTTTTTTTCCTCAATAAAGGTGTTTGAGAAAACTTGGCTACAAAGTGAATGTCTGTTTCTGGATCTCTGTCTCCAACTCTGATTTCCACTCCAAAATCAGAAATACAGAGATGTTGGGCAAAGGATTCTAAAGTTCAGCCAGACAGGAGGAATAAATGCAAGAGATCTGTTGTACAACATGGTGACTATAGTTAATAATGATGTATTGTATTCTTGAAAATTGCTAAGCGAGATTTTAAGTGTTCTCACCACAAAAAAATAAGCATGTGAGGTATTGTATATGTTAATTAACTTGATTTAGCCATTCACAATGTATACATATTTCAAAGCAACATGTTGTGCATGATAAATGTACACAATTATTTTGGTCAATTATAAATGAATGAATGAATGAAATGCACTCTGAGGAGAAGTGACCACCAGACATAGAAGGGAAAGCTTTCCAGGAGAACATTTCTTATTGAAAATATTTTCTCACTTTTAAAGTACTTCGTGTCTTATTTGAGCCTTATGACAGCTCATTGAATTAATCCTTTTACCAAGCAAAACAGAGCCTGGGAGGTGAGAGAAGTTGCCAGAGGGGATGTGGTTAGCTCATGACAAAGCCAGCCCCACAGTTTATTCCTCCCATGGGTCGGGTGGAGGAGGAGGCAACTCCATCAGCAACACAATTCAGGGCATTTTGTGCTTACCTGAATCATGACCAATGAGGAATTTTTGAAAACAGAAGAACCTGGGCCCCATCCTGCAGAGGTTCTAATTCAATTCATCTGGGGTGATGCCTGGGCATCCTATACTTGAAAAGCTCCCTTGTGACTCTAAAATGCAACTAGAGTTGAGAGTCGGAGATTACTGAACTCATAGCCTAGCAGAGCATTGTGTTATAGATTGTGTCTGATGTGCTAAATAATTAACAAAATAATAATAGACCAGACTATGCCACATACAGAAAACTCCACTGGGCTCTCATAAAGGAATAATTTTTTGAAAGGATTACTTTCTTATTACTCAAGTAATAAGGGTAACGTATTTAATACACAAATACATTTACCGTGTAAAAAATGTAAACAGTATACAGAGGGAGTTAAATTTCCCTTTACCATGCCCTTATCCTCAGAGGTAACTAATGTTATAAAATCAATCTGTAATCTTCCAGATTTTGTATACTTTTACACGCACATGTACATACTCATAGAAAACACATAGCATTGTTCTGTGTACTGTTGTTGTTGTCTGTAAATGGTATCATACTGTGTTTACCATTCTGTGCCTTGGTATTTTTTCTCTTAACAATATGTCTTGAAGATCTTTTCATATCTACATTTATAATCTAACTCACTCTTCTGAATCAATGCCTAGTAGTATTTCATGCTATAAAGAAATCATAGGCTAGTGTCCATTTTCCTATTGAGGGACATACATAGTACACAAACCCCATGTCATATGTCAGCCCAGGAAATCTGTTCTCTCTCTCTCAACAAACATTTCAATGTCATAATTATAAGGTATCATATGGCCATGAGCCATGGCAGCTTGACAAAGAATTTTACTGATGTGTGTTGGATAGTTCTTTTGAGTTTTATTTAAATTTTCTCCCAAACCTTGATGTATTTTGGGCCTGAGCTTCTGGATGTGTGCTGAGTTAATTTGCATGTGTGATCTCAAAGGAATGATTTAGAGTGTAGGAGAAGGACCAGCCTGAGGTTCCCTTGCAAGGTACCACCCTTGACCCTTCCTGGCTCTTGCACGGCTATCTGGGGAGCAGAGGGGATGTCCCTGCAACATGGCTGTACATGCGCGGTCCCAGCAGCTCTCACCTCAGGGGCGATGTAGTCTGGAGTGCCACAGAATGTCTTAGTTGTCACCCCGTCCCAGATGTTCTCCTTACACATGCCAAAATCAGCAATCTTGATGTGCCCCTCAGAATCCAGCATCACGTTGTCAAGTTTTAGGTCACTGTGGCAGACACAAGAAATTAGAGATTTAATTAAATGCTATTTATTTCAAGGCAACAACGAACAGCCACTCATTATGCATAAAGCCCTGTGCTAGGTATTGTGGGGTACGAAGTGAGTATAAACCGGCCCTGCCCTCCAACAGCTGACGGTCTGGCAGGGAGATAAAAAGGGGCCCACCAACCTCTGTGCCTTTCTTTTTCTTTCTTTTTCTACAGAGCCAACTGTGCCAACGGTCTCATGAGGACACAAGGAGACAGCGGCTCTGAGAACGGGGAGATCCACAGAAAATTAAACAAAGGGTAGAGTGTCCACAGAGGCTTCTTGTATCCAGGGGAATTCTAAGAATTGCCCTTTGTAACTTAAGTACTCTTTATATTTTGTAGGAAGATCTATTTTTCACCAAATTATTATTTTTAACTATCTCTGGAGATCACAAAGAAAAAAACTGATTGAGAGACACTTATTTAACTCCACCAAGATCTCCTGGGCCACTTCTTGGGACATGAGCCAGGAGTTTCCATTGATTCTTTCAATCAAAAAATATTTATTGCACACCTACTATGTGACAGGCACTATGCCTGGAGCTGTATATATAGCTGTGAACAAGATGAACAAGCTTCCTGCTCTTCTGATTAAATTCCAGGGGAGGAAAAAAGACAATTTACAAGTATTTAAATCTATAAGCATGATTATTACAGATTCAGATGTATGCAAAGAAAATAAAAATGACAATGAGGTAGTAATTGGGGAAGGTCACTTTATTTATTTATTTATTTTTTTTTGAGACAGAGTCTCACTTTCTTGCCTGGGGCGAGTCCGTGGCGTCAGCCTAGCTCACAGCAACCTCAAATTCCTGGGCTCAAGCAACCCTACTGTCTCAGCCTCCCCGGTAGCTGGGACCACAGGCATGCGCCACCATGCCCGGCTAATTTTTTCTACATATATTTTTAGCTGTCCAATTAATTTCTTTCCATTTTTTGGTAGAGATGGGGTCTCGCTCTTGCTCAGGCTGGTCTCGAACTCCTGAGCTCAGAACGATCCGCCCGCCTCGGCCTCCAAGAGTGCTAGGATTACAGGCGTGAGCCACCGCGCCCGGCCAGGAAGGTCACTTTAAACAGGGTGTCAGGAAGGACCTAAGGTGGTGACATTTAGCTTTAACATAAAGGATGCGTGCTGTACTTGCATTCTTTTATTTCCAACTGTGTTGATGAGGACAGCTTGATATTTGGGGGAATGCTCGTATGTCTCCTGCATATGGGATTGCTCTAGTATCAACACACTTTCCTTTCTAAATACCTACTCCAATGTCAACTCAGTCAGTAGGGCTGATCTATGGATCAGATTGTCCTAGTCCTAATAGAATATGGGGAAGTCCAGCTTTCTGAGAGGTAAGGGGAACTACCGTTCAATTCACTTCTCTCCCTTAAATCATTTTGAGTGGGTGGTGAACATCTGTGGTTTCTGCCTATTCTAGCATCTTGTGATGAGAGCATCCTAATATTCCTTTGAAGAACCACCCTTCCCCAGTTCTCAAGCCACGTAATGTGGGTGGTGCTGGCTCCCCAAGTGGTCATGTGGGCCTGTCCTGGCCAGTGGAAATACTCCATCCTGCTGGTCACAGTACCAGATTCAGAATGGGCATGTGACCCAATCTGGGCCAATCAAAGTCATTGTATCAGCCCTGGCATTTTGGCTGGTACCATCAGAAGAGAGATGAGTGCTTTTTCCATTGGGATTGCTCAGGTGGTAGAATGTGAGTCTAGAAGCTCCAAGGGTCACCAGATGGAGAGAAGAAAACTGATATAGATAAAGGAGAACCTAAAGGGAGAGTGATAAAGTGAACCCTCATAACATCATTTGAGCCCCTGCATTTATCCAGGCCTAAATTCAGATCTGCCCCTGGACTTTTAAGTGACATCAGCCAATAAATGCCTCTTTTAACTTAAGATAGCCTGAATTGAGTTGCTGTCATCATTTCCAACTAAAAGAATGAAATATATCCTGGCATGTCCTATCCATGTCTATAGGGTCTCTTCATCCTAGGGAAGGTCCACTTGTACCCACTGTTTGCCAATAGCAACATTCCACAATTATAATATCTTTGGCGCTGTCCACGGTACTGCTTATATCCGGCCTTCTTTCTTATCTATAAACCACAGCAGTCTCTGAATGCTAGGTTGGAACTTAGAGAAACTGAACTTTGCAATTACTTGCTTCACCTAAACATACTAGGTCTACATATGATTTCATTAATAGTGACACAACCCCCACCCCCGCCCCCCAGCTTGACCACATGCCCAGAAACTATGTCAACCAGGGAAGGAATAAAATCTCCATCTTTTATAGAAAAGGAGTTTCAGGTGCCAAGAACCAGCAGGTCTTGAGACTAGAAGATGCTCCCATCATATTTACTGTCACTAGCACTCTTTTGATATTCTACTGCCTTCTTTTGTTCTATGTAATAAATCCTCATTTCTGTTTCAAAAAGGGGCTAGAGCAATAGTTCTCATTTACAGAAATCCATCAAGGGCAAAATCAACACACATTCCAGAGATGGTGATCAATAGATCAGACACTAAGTTTGACAGGAAGCATCTTTTGTCCCAACCACCCACTCAACATCTCCAGCTGTGATCCTCAAAGAGGGTTTAAGTCTAACATAATTCCTCATCCTCTTTACTTAAGAACTGTTCAATGAGCTAGAGCTATAAATGAAGGAGGGAGTGATTTGTAACACTTTAAAAGACTTTACAACCATGAAGGCAATCTCTATGAAACTATAAAACCATGCATCTTTTGTTGTGTAATTTTTAATAGTTTTCATTTGATTATCAATTTCAAGGACTCTGTCTCAATCAAGATTCTTAATGGTGGGGAACAAAAACCAACTCTGATGATTTTAACCTGAAAAGGAATTTGTAAAAGCATATTGGAAACATCACAGAATCTCCACGGAAGGCTGAAGAACCAGATTAGGAGACTACACAGCCAGAAATATGGAGCTGGTCCAGTGAAGACACCGCCAACGTCACCACTGGACAAAGACATCACCCCCTCTGCTCCAGGAAGCCCTAATGCTGGACTGACCATTGCTGCTAAGAATCTCTTCTTCTCTTGCCCCTGGACACTGGCTGTTCCTGATTACTGTGGCCACTCTTGATTCTATGGTCTCTGCCTCCTTTCTCACTAGTTTCTGAGTCAAGGTTTTGAGTGAGTATGACCGGGTGTCAGAGTTTGGGTCGTGTGCCTGCCCTTGCTATGGGGAGGCTGCGAAAGCATCTGGAATTTTCAATCTTTATAGTAGGAGACAGAGTCTGTTCTTACACACACACACAAAAGGTTTACATATTAATTTGCTTAAAAGATTGATAAATATCCCTTTGAAAACCATATTAGTAGTGAAGCATGAAAGGAAGAACGTGTAGCTGGTTTAGGAAAAAGAGCTTTGAAGTAGGTATTGTCTTAGCACCTGAAATACTAATCTTTGGGTTTCATGATCTGGGTGGCCAATGGCCTGGATCCATGGATCCCAGATCCCAATCCGGTTCCCTGCTAGATTGGAAGCTAGCCCTGAATCTCAACTCGGGTGACCAGAACTCTAATTATTTCCTCTCCTGGTTCCTACCATGGGACTGCATTTTCTTCTAGCAAACTTGTAGGTCCATATTTAATCTCAAGAACCCGGTCGGCTCTATTCTAGTGGAGGCACAAGCTGCACAGAAGCTGGGTCCTAACATCAGTACACAAAGTGAGAACTATGTAGAGTGAGAAATGTCCCACAATCCCTGTTTCTTTGGTTAAGCACCAGCTGAAGTCACTGGCTTGAATTTAGGAGTCATTGTCATACAGAAGATAACGTGTACCTTTCAACACCAGAATCACATTCAGCATAAAAAGATGCTCTCGCTATGAGAGTCAAAAGGGAAAATGAGGGAGTTAGAGCATTTCCGTGTCCCATTTCATGCTCACATGGCGATACGTGATCACTGAGGCAAGCATGGGCAGAATGACCATACTATTTAAAACTTAAATTCTTCTTCTTCTTCTCTTTATTTTGGTACCTTCACTAGGATTACTCATGAGCCAGGTAAAACCACTCCTCTTCCTGATCTTCATCCTTCCATTATCAGGACAAATAGGGATGGTGGGGACTGTGTACTCTGGATAAGATTGTCTCTCCCCCACTAGATTTCATATCACCACTTCAAGGAGTGAATAAGAGCCCCAGGGCTCTAGAAGCTTCTGACAAAGCCCCCACCTCCCATCCCTCCATCCCACATGCTCCCAAAGCCTCACCTCCACTATCTGCCTTGAAACTACCAGGGCTGATCTCTTCGTGTCTGTTCATCCCATATCTATCCTTCAGTTGCAGTGAGAGGCCCAGGACTCCCAAGTCACCCCTAACTCTCCAGACCCTAATCACCACGCTCTCTACACAAGAGGCAAATCTCCACCACCCTGCACACACCAGCCCCATATCCTGTTTGATTTTTCTCCATAGCACTTATCACTCCCTGACAGACTATATTTTTATGATTTCCTTCTCTGTCTCCCACCACTAGAAGATAAACTCCACTAGGGCAAGGCACTGTGGCTGTTGTATTCACTGCCGTATCCCCAGACCCCACCATAGTGCCTAGAACATAGTAGGCTTTTGATAAATATTTGTCAAACGATTGAATGAAATGGACTTTTTGTGGCTCTTCATGATCTTTTAAATAGCCCCTCACCTGTGCCAAGCACTGTTTGGAAGCCCCATGCCCTGCCAGCCTCTCTTGCATAACAAATCAGCCCAAGCCTGCGCCGACTATGCCATTTGCATCCATGTAGTGCAAGGAGAACTGCATGCCCCGGACTCACTGACAAACAGCAGCCTCGGGCTCAACAGTCTGCCTTGCATGAAATATAAAATGGTATGACTCATATAGCTATGATCATCCACTTGCTCCTCCAAAAACCAGCAAATGCCAAGTCCTGAACTTAATCCTGTATTTCAGGGCAGCTACTCAGAGATCTATTTCCAAGTTGTAGTTACATAGCAAAAAATATATATATATATTTTTTCATAATAACATGATCCATCACATTTGGCCAGCCAAGATGCATTGCTGGACCCCAAGTGTGGGATCCACAGGCAAGAGAGAGAAGTACTGGGACCCCATAGTGAGCCTCCTCTTCTTACAGCAAATGTTCTCGTGTTTGAGGCTCAGAACCATCATTGGTGACACAGTCCATCGAGATTTTCTACCATCATATAGAGCTGCCCAAACTTTGCCAGGTCAGTGGGCGATGCTGCCTGGCAGAACACATGCCCAAGTTAGTACTGGAGGATTCCTCCCCCAGCACGGATTCTAATTTTAAAAGCAGTTGAAGAAAGAGGCAGGGAAGGAAGGAACTGAAGGAGATGAGGAGATGGAAAGCATAGCAGTGTTCACTTACCGGTAAATGATGCCCTTGCTCTGCAAGAAGAACAGACCAATGGCGATTTCTGCAGCGTAAAATCTGAAATTAAAAAAAAAAAAGTGATGGAGAAATTCAAGGACACCATATGCTTGGCAACTCTCAGAATTCAATACAACATTGAATGAGGCACAGGGCATTAAAGTCCCACCATGGATGGTCAGCTACACAGCTCGTAGAATGCTGAGAGTATGGATGGATTAACAGCGTGCTTTAGAGAGCTAGCTATAGGCCTGCCTTAAGGACAAACTGGGGGTGGGCAGAGGTTCAGGAATTGCGTAGTGGGGAGGAGGAGGCCATGGGATATAATAGACAGCATGGTTTCAGACTATAGCTAGTTAAAATATCTTAACAAGAACAGCTAACATCTGTTGAAGTCTTACCATCCACCTGGCATCATTTTAAGCATTATCTGATTTAACCCTAATAATAATCCTGTCAGGTAGGTCCTACTATTACCTACCTGCTCCTCAAATGAGGAAACTGAGGCTTAGAGAGATGAAATAACTTAGGCAAGCTACACAGCTAATGACTGGCACAGCGAGGACCAGAAACAGCATCTGACTAAAGTGTAACCTCTTAATGAAGACCTCCCCAGAAGGAAAGAGGTTTTCAGAGAACTAGAAAGCCCAGTTATACCACAAGGGTTGGACAGGGTTTGGGGGAACTATGTCAAGTGTCCTGACAATATGTCTTGTGTGATAATGGAATTAAAGCATGTGGTCAATTAGATGTTAGAAATAAAAGAGGAGCCAGTCCTCTTAGAATCGCGCCAAGAGATACGAATGGCAAGATTTGGAAGCACAGGATCATGCAAATCCTACCGGAACATGGTGCTCACAGCCTCAGCAGGTGGCAGGAGAGGGGCAAGCTGGGCTGGGCAGGAGCCAGCAAGCCTCGGATGTGACAGGGTGGGGCCCTAGTCGAGCCCTGGGTGCTCTCTGGAGAGGCAATAAGATCTTAGCAAACTCCCCAGGGAGAGGTTGTTGTTGCTAATTCCTATGACTTGCCGGTTTCCTGTTCGATGACAGGGTTTTAAGCAGGAGAGTAATACGATGAGATTTGTGTTCTAAAAAGATTAAACTCTGGCTGCCTTGGGTACTAAAGGAGATGGAATGGACACAGTAGAAGACACATATTTCCCCAAACCCATAATCAGTCTTCCATCCCAGGAACCACAAACCATCACCACTATTCAACCTGACCATCTCCTGGAGTGAAGGCATCTAAGAGGGAGAGTGGTGTAAGACATAGAACATGGGCAAAAAAATGTGGGTCAAAATTCTGGATCAGCCTCGCACTAGCCCTGTGATCTTGAGCAAGTTTCTAAAACTCTCCGCATCTCGGTTTCCCTGTCTGTAAAGCAGAGGTGCTGATACCTACCTCCCAGAGTTATTCTCAGGATTAAACGAGACAGTGTTTGTTGAGCACTTAGAGCCTGGCCCATAATAAGCTCTCCATAAATATTAGCAAATGAACAAACAAAACCTACAGTGACATTCCCCAAGGAAGCTATATGGCCATTCCTAGGAGTCAGAGGCAAGAATTAGAGATAAAGAAATAGCTATGGTTTTAGAGCTTCAAGTTCTTAGCTGGTTCCAGGAAAAAAATAAAATAAAAGCATCCCCTGTCAAGCAGAGCACCTTCTCCCCTGGCCAAATATTTCTCACAGAGGAGCCTGAGATGTTTAAAAATCCTCTGCTGGCAAAAAAAACCCCAAAGGAATTAACAACCCACCCATTTACCCCAAGGACACAGCGCAAGTTCTCACTTACACAGCATGAGGTTCTTTAAACCGGCCAACTTGTTGGATGTGGTACATGAGGTCACCCCCGTTCACGTACTCCATCACAAAGTACAGGCGGTCCTGGAAGAGGAGAGCAAACTGCAAAATCAGCATCGTGTAGCTTCTCAGGCTCCAATGCAGAGCAGGGGATAGCTGGAATGATGACCAAAACCACCAGGACTCTCTGACAGACCCCCATTTGCGGGGCCCAGTGTTTCCCCAAGCTTAACATTTGTGCCACTGGAAGTATGCGAGGGAGCATAGGTGGTATATGAATAATGTTTTTCATTAATAACTACAGGTTTAGATTCATTTGGGCTAGAAAATATAATTAGCACAGTAATCTTGTGACTTAATTGATATTATTGTTTAGGATAAGGCTAATTTTTAAAAAAGTGGGAAATGTTAAGTAAGTAATACTACAGGTTATAGGTAGTGCCAGCCTCTATGATGGCCCTGTAATAATTTTTTTCATCTCTTGGTATTCGTGTTCTTACGTAGTACCTTCCCACATGAATAGGACTGACTTGTGTAGCAAATAGGATAGTGTAGAAGTAACAATACATGACTTCCGGGATGAGGTCTCAAAAGACCTTACAGCCGCCATGTCACGAGGACGCTCAAGCAGCACTGTGGAAAGGTGCGTTTGGCAAAGAACTGAGGCCTCCTGCCAACAGCCAGCACCAACTCCAGTCAGGCAAGTGAGCCACCTTAGAAACAGATCCTTCCTCCCAAGACAAGCCTTCAGACGACTGCAACCCCAGCTGGCAACATGGCTGCAACTTCATTTGAGGCCCGAAGCCAGAATTGCATAGGTGAACCACTCCCAAATTTCTGACCCACAGAAACTGTGAAATAATAAATGTTTACTGTTGTTTCAGACCACTGAGTTTTGAGGTACTCAGCAACAGATAACTAAACAGTGGCTACAAAAAAACAAAACAAAATATGAATTATCAAGGTTTGAAAAGTAGTAGCTGAGAAGCGCATGTCTGGAAGTAAAAGAATTGGGGTCAGAAAGGAAATCTGTGCCCCATTCAGGGCATTTTTTTCAACATGTCTTTTAAGGGATATTGTGAACTCCTTCGAGTAGGGGCTGGGTCCTCCTCGGCTGTGCAAGCTCTGTTTCTGGTACCACAACTGGCAAACAGTAAGTGCCCAGGGGGTGACAGAGCAAGGCACTGGAGCCAAAGAGAAACTCAGCTCTGCTTCCTACTAGCTGGGTATCTTTGGAGAAGTATTCAACATTTGGGTTTCCTCATCTGTAAAGAGGAGATACTAATAGAACCACAGTGGTGGTGATAGGATTAGATGAGACAGATGTGTGCTATGGTCCCTGGGCAGCACCTACATATGATCTGCCTGCTCCCCTTCCATCAAAGGGTGTTTATTAAATGAATGAATGACTTCACCTCTTCTCAGAAACTTTTGCTTGGGTTAAATCACTCCTTTATGCTACATTCCTCTGGTTTGCAATGGCAGAGTCTGCACTAACTAATTGTAGGGACTTAAGTCCCTCTCATGTTCTCAGCCTAAAGAAATCACATCCTTTAACCCACCCAATCTAAATTAGGTCTGCCTGCTACACTCTTTCATGAACCCCTGTGGGTTTTTTTTCCCTCTAATCATATCATAATTTGTAACTATATATTTAACTAGATGATTACTTATTTCATCTATTCACTCATTAATGAAGTCAAAAAATATTTATATGGCCCTATGAGATACCCTACTATATATAGGTGTTGGAAATAAAGCAGTGGACAAAACCAACACAAACCTCCTGTCTTTATCTTTCATTCTGGTAGGGGGACACAGACAAAGACAATGAATGCTACACATAATAAATAAATTAAATAGACCATTAAAACATAATAAGTGCTATGGAAAAAGCAGAGCAAAGTAAGGGAGATTGGGAGTGCCAGCTGGATGAGATGGGAGAAAGGAGTTCTAATTTCCATAAGGTGCTCAGGATAAATCATATCAAGAAGGAGGTGCTTCAGCAAAGACTTGGAGGAGCTGATGGAAGCAGCTATGCAGATATGTAGAGCAAGAGCTTATCAGGTGGAGGAAACCATTTGTGCAAAGGCCCCGAGGCCACAGCACATTTGCTGTGCTTTGGGAACCTTGAGGAACCAGTGTGACAGGAGAAGTGAGAAGAATGGAGACAGGAGATGAGCCCAGAGAGGTGACGAGGGACTCAGATCATATAAGGCCTCAAGGGCTAATAGAAAGGCTTTGATTTTTCTCTCCAAAAGAAACCATCTAATTCCAGATAAGACTGGAAGTTCCACAAAGCCAGAGACCATGTCAAATTTGTTTCCCATTCTGTACCAAGAGCCCAGCACCTTGCCTGGCCAAAGAGAGCCATTTGTGCACATTAATTAAATGAATGAATGAGTGATCGTAGAGGCAGCAGGAATTAGTGGGCCCCCCAAACACCATTCATGCAGTCAGAGGCTGGAACTGAAGCCTTGGCTCCAAACTTTCTAGCTGGTTGGGCTTGGGAAGACCACTTTATATCTCTGATCCTTGATATCTCCCTTTATAACATGAGAGCAATATAATCAACCATCTCTAACAGAGTGACTGAGGGGCGTGCACAGTGCTGCCAATTGTAAACGTGCTGAAAATGAGCTGTCCCATCGGCATTGCCTGGTTATTTCAGCCAGGCCAGTGTTTTTCAAACTCAAGTTGTAGCTCACTTTAATTGATCATTAAATCAATCTGGCAGTTCATGATCAATTTTAAAAAAAAAGAAAATGAAAGAAAGAGAAAAACCTAGAAACTATCAGAGTACCCTACACAGAGCACCACTAAGTATTAGTATTATTTTGTGGAACATGTGTTTTGGTTATATGTATATGTTGATATGATTGAGTTGCAGTTTAAAAGGTGGTTTGCTGGCAAAAGTTGCAAAGCTGTTGTGAGGGGCGATAAAACCAGGAGAATGGGTTCGGGAAAAGTGCCATGTAGGGCAAAGGTGCCAAATTTTAAGTCAATACAGGATTTGAAGTCTTGTGCCACCACTTACTAGCTATGCAACAGTGAGCAGTCACTTAACCTATAGCCTCCAGCTTTCTCTTAACTGTAAAGTGGACATTCTTCACCTGCCCCATAGAGTGTTAAACGCAAGGACTTATGTAAAGAGTCTAACGTGATGTTGGCCATGTAACAAATGTTTAATTCACCATTTAAAAAATCTTCTTAAAAAAATCTTTTGTACAGTGCACTGAACTTTAGCTTACATATAACAGTCATACATGCATTTGTCAGATATGTATTGAGTGTCTAACAATTATATTAATAATAACAACAATAATAAAATTAAGTTAGCATCTTTTGGGTACTTATTATGTGACTGAGCTAAATGCTTTATGTGTTTTGTCTCACTTATCCCTCCAAACAACCCAGCGTGGCAAGTATTACTGCTCTCCCCCTTCTACAGACGTGAAAGTTGAAGCTCAGAAAGGCTAAGTAACCTGCCCGTGGTCACTCGGTTGGCAACCTGTAGAGCCAGGATTTGGACCCTGGCAGTTTGGTTCCAGAATTTATCCTGGCAACCTCTCATTAAGCTGCCTCCAGTACGTACATCTTGCATGAAAGGTTCTGGGCTGGACATGACACTGTGTGTAGATGTGTCCTTCCCACAAAGAGCTTCCAGTCCAGAAGGGAGAGAAGGAACGTTGAGATCTAGCCACACATCAGTACACAAACTGCAGGTTGGGGTGAGGGACCTGCAGCCTTAAGGCCACTTGTGGTCTTCTAGTTCCTTAAGTGTGGCCTTTTGACTGAATCCGAATTTTACAGAACAAATCCTTTCTTTTTTTTTTTTTTTGAGACAGAGTCTCGCTTTTTTGCCCGGGCTAGAGTGAGTGCCGTGGCGTCAGCCAAGCTCACAGCAACCTCAAACTCCTGGGCTCAAGCAATCCTTCTGCCTCAGCCTCCCGAGTAGCTGGGACTACAGGCATGCGCCACCATGCCCGGCTAATTTTTTCTATATATTTTTAGTTGTCTGATTAATTTCTTTCTATTTTCAGTAGAGACGGGGTCTCACTCTTGCTGAGGCTGGTCTCGAACTCCTGAGCTCAAACAATCTGCCCGCCTCGGCCTCCCAGAATGCTAGGATTACAGGCGTGAGCCACCGCGCCCGGCCCAAATCCTTTCTTAAAAGGGGTACAGCAGAGAAAGCTGAAGCTTTTCTTGCCTCTTTTGGTGCTTAAAATAAAATAAAAAAAATCTTGAAATCAGAAGGCCACAGGTTCCCCACCCCGTTTGGCCAATTTGTTTTTGAAACGGTTTTTCTTTCTCAGACTAATACTACTCTCATCCCTAATGAGAGGTAGAGAGAGGTAGAATTATCACTTTCATTCTCAGGGTCCAAGGCACATGAGATTTGCAGAAAGGTCACATACAAGTTGGTGGCAGAACACAGACAGTACGCCAGCACTGCCGACACCCAGCCCCTGGTGCTTTGGGGGATTTTTGATAGAAAACAAGCCTAAAAATAGCATCTGTCTTTGCTGCACGTTGAAGAGAACCAAAACACTTGCTTTTAAAAATTATTTTTAAAACTAGCAGATGGCATCGGCCACAAAGAGAAAAGTAAGTGAGAGAGAGATTTCACTTGCTTGCTTTTTGCTGGGAAGAACTCAACTTGCCCCCCAAACTCATTAGTCGGAAGCCCCACATGGGGGGATAGCTTCCTCTATGGGTAATGTTTTGTGGTGTGTTTCTGCCGCTCACCATATGTGGGGAAACTGTGAGATCCATCATCTTTGAACTGTACTGAGTGTGGCTTTGACACACCAGCGCCTCAGCTACTCAATGTTACGGTTGACATCTCACTGTCCTTTCATTTCTGAACAAACACTTAATGATGCCCACTCTATGCCAGGCACTATTCTATTGCCAGAGATGCTGCTGGGAATGATCCATGGTGCCCGGTGTTACGGATTTCCCCAGATGAGTGGAGGAGACCAGATAAATTTCCAAACGGCGATGTTTCCCAAAATGAGGTAGGAGATAATTTTAGGTAGTCCACGGATGCATATGTTTTTACCTTTATAGTTTCATGTTTG